CTTTTTCCACGAGATACACGTCCGGATGAGTAGCGCGATGCAACTCGTGCTCGTAGAACGCTCCAGCGATGGAATTTCCACGATAGTCCTCGAGTAGATAAGTTACGGAATTGGTACGCTGCACCTTAACGATCGTAAACACTTCGGTGGTCTAATTTGGTGTATAACTCTTCTCAAAAATCGTCTTGTACTTGCTCACGCGTACTGAATCGCCTACTTTGAATTTTGCAGGACCCGCTATCTTTATCGCACTGTACACTGTGCCCAAGAGTTTTTCGGCGATCGCAGAAGTTACGTCAGAGGGTCGCATGCCGATGGTGCGATGCTTGCGCGCGTTGTAATCTGACACGAGAAGCGACAGCTTGTCGACCCACTTGTAATTACCATTGAGTGTAAACATCTTCCACATGTCGTTTTTGAGCATGCGATTGAATCGCTTGACCACTGACGCTTTCAACGTCGAATACGTGGAATAGTGATGAACGTTGTATTTCAAGATTTTCTGTACATCTACATTATAAATTTTTTCCCCATATCCGTTTGTAAATTTTTCGAACATCTTCCACTCTCTCAAACGATCTCAGCGATAGCGTTAACCGTCTCGCTTCTACCTTTGCTCTTGAGCGGAACGGCCCACGCATACTTGCTCAACACATCGATGACAGTGAGTAATGGTAGCTTCTGTTGAAACTTGAGTACGGACGCATCTCAACGATATCAGCCTGCCACAGATCGTCGTACCCCCGGACTATGACACACCTTCGCGGAAAATTTCTTCTCGCCGGAGCGTGCAATTCCTCGACGAGCCGACGTTTCTTGGAGCTAAATTTTTCTCTCTTTTCATCGGATTTCTTTTTCATGATTCGACGTGTAATACACAGAGTACAAGAAATTAATGTATTTTTTCTCGCTGATGTCACTCGACTGACTCGTTTTATGAATACGCGATTTAATTTATAATAAGACTGGCTTTGCGAAGTTCCTCGATGATCGACAGCACTCGTTGTCGTGAGCGTTGTTGCCTGCTCGGTGCGAAGCGTCGAGCAATCGTAGACGATTCACCAGATAGTTGAGATCATCTCAGTGCACGTAATCGATCGCGTTGTCGTTCAGTGTCATTGCGTGAGGTAATCCCTTTCCAGATTTCTTCTGTTTCTTGGGTGTGATCGACATCAACGGCGCGATTATATGTTTGTACTTGTATCCTCTGTTGCTCAATAATCAACCCTGTGAATGGTACTTGTGTTTGTGCGCGTTCGTCACCAACAACATGCTCTTGTACTTGTGGATATCGTCTTCCGTGGGCATCGTCGGGAATTCTCTTGAAAATCGACTCGTCGCCTGGTGTACCGGCGTATCTTACGCCGTCGATGATTATGTTGTCCGCGTCATCCACGTCGAAACGTTTATTTCCAAACATCAGCCCATCCTTATGTAGGTAAACGCCGTACACACGATCTATACCGCTCTCTTTATCTCGCGCTCCCCTCAGCCTCGACCTACTTTTGACCCAGCGGGCCCAAACCAGTTCGTAACGCCCTCGACGTTTGTAGCTGATTTTGAACCTTCGTCGCTAGCGAGTATTTCGTCGTTTCGAAAACGTTCTCCAACGACTCTATCGTCGATATGATTTTGGCATGCGGGGTGGAAGTTATTGGTTGTACATCATCGTGCGATCTTCTCTCTCCTCTCCTTCCTCTCGCGTTTATGGGCAGACGCTATATTTTCGTCGCGCGACTCTCTCTTTGTCACGTACGCCGGGTCTGTCGGCGAAAAGTCGCAGCGCCTCGATAAGAGGTTTAAAAGACTCTGTCCAACGCGATGCTCTCCTCGATTCTGTCGGTCTTCAGAACGCGATGTTTCTTGCGGATCGACTCGCTCGTCTTCTCGATCGCTCTCGCGATATTTTCACACTAGCGCACATCTGCTATGTTCGTCCGTGACTAAGTATCGATAACGACTGGTCGCGTTACGGTATCGCGAACTCGTTAAATCTTTTTCTGTATCGTCCATTTGTGAGCGCACTGTCTTTGTCTATCACTACGAATCCATATTTTTGTTGCTATCAGGCGTGGCACAACGCGCAAAATTCGTTGTACGACATGTTGGTATTTACATGATCGTTGTAAACGTGTTTCAAGTTGGTATCGTCCTGTTTGAATAGGATCAGAAGGTTCGCGTTGTCGCATATCAGATGTTTAGGTATCTCGCGTACGTCTGACAGAGATAGAAGCAGTCAACGTTCGCGTGGCGACCCATCGAAAAGTATTCTCTCACCGCATCCTGCTTGTCGCATGCCACGTCATCAAAGATAAAAATAGAATTTGGACGCACCTCACTCGGTGGAACGACGTCGCTGTTATTGGAGAACGTAAAGTAGCCGATTTCGTCGATAGACGTAAACAAATTTTCGAGATATCGATACTTTGGCTGTTGCAACGATTTCGAATAGACGTACACATTCTCGAAACGTACACCGTTCGGGCTGTCGAGTAAGCTTATGAGAACGTTGGTTTTACCCCAATTCGGTGGGCCGCAAATGATCGCGCGTATAGTTCTCGGCAGCATTTCGCCGTGCTTCTCCGCGAGATGATCGAATGATCTTCCATCATTTGCAATTTCGCGTCACAATTCGTAACGCGTATCGTCAGCGGTTGCAGCACAAATTTCATGTTCACACTACAGGCTGTGCGCTCTCGAACGACTATTTAAAGACGTGTGAATCCCGCGAATCGCGCAGTAGCAAAATGTATCTCGCTCTGAGTCATCCTTCCGATATTCGAAACTTGAGCGACGAGCAGTTACAATATATACCGAAGGTCGTACTCTTACGCGTGTACGGCGATTACATCGAACAC